GACAGTATTCCTTAATTTGACAGATGGGGGAGTCTGACAATTGTAGATGGTGACATTTAACTGTAGTGGTCTTACATGTGACTTTTAAAATGCTTTTACCACGATGGAGTAATGGTTAGAACAGGATTAATGAGCAGTCATGTAAGGAATGAGCTCAGCCTGAGTGGACTATTTTTCTATTCATGATTTTTATTTACAGTTTCTATCATCTCTGGTATTTCATATGCGATGTGTGTACTGAAATGCTGAGTAAAATAGAGAGTATGTCATATCATATTTTTTAAACTAAAGACCCATCTTATAAACCTATATAACAAATGATCTGCATAACAGCTGGATAAGCAGGATCAGCTGAAAAGAGTGAGTTCTGTGTTTACATACAGATTCCAGAATAAGGCAGATACCCCTTTAATTTCACACCTCTGATAGTATGATCCTTCTTCATTCAGTTACAATCCCACATTAAAATATATCACATACACAGTGCACCTTTGACTTTCAAGATAACTACATGTAGAGTTAGACTTCGTCTGTTGGGACTACTAGATCAATTACTTTGACTTCATTGCTTGGTCAGTTCAGTCAAATAACTGGCTTAAGTGATTTTTTTTCCTGCTGGATTTGCCAGGTAACTTCATTTAGCGCATAACTATTGAGCTACCACTGTGTCCAAGGGCTGAACTAGGCACTTTGGGGGGATCACAGGATTAGAAGGCATGGTACCAATCTGCACAGAGTTCACAATACAAAACTAATTCATAATGCCTGGCAGAATCAGATTCAGTGCTAAGAGCGTAGAATAAATGGGTTTCGTTGTTGGTTGTTTTTGTTTCAATAGATTGTAATTGAATGCTCTAGCAATTGCAGAACAACACGTAGGCTTCCACAAGAATCGAACAGAGGGGAGGGAGGAGAGTGTGCAAATGGGGGGGATGGGTAGTGGAGAAGCATAAGCCACAAACTACAGTCAAAAAAGGAATGGAATTTTAGGGACCAACCTTGAAATTAGCCTGGCCTCAGGAGCATGGTATTGAAAAGACTGAGTTACAAGTTAGCGAAACTAGATTATGGAGGGCCTAGAACCTCAAGCCAAGGAGTTCAAGATTTTTCTTAGAAGCCCTAGGACCCACTGAGGTTTTTAAGCAGGTTAACCATGAAATAAAGTTAGTGCTTTTGAAAGATGACTCTGGCAGTGATGCATTAAATAGAGGGGAGAGAAGGTTTGTCTTCTTCCCCTGTGCCTTGGCAGCTCTTCTCTGTTCTCACACTCCCAACCCTCCTGCCTGTGCACTATGAATGTGCAGAACCCTGACCTCAGAACAGTAGATGTGTCCACATTCTGAAGTCCTGCACTCCAGCCATTGGACACTGATCATGGGAGTCACTCAAACGTACTCTTTGACGCCTCTACAAATTTTTTGATGTTCCAGCTTCCACTGAATTCATGAGCAATACTTTTATATGTCTTTGGTTAGCTTCCTTACCTATTGCCCTACAGCTTCTCTTCCGGACGCCAAACTTTACCATTTTTCTTACCGTAAGAAGGTTGCCAATTTCCCCGAATTCACAAGATCATTTGCTGAGATGGATTAAGGGTGATGTGTGACTGGGCCTTTAACTGAAACCAGTGACCTGCTGTTAGTTGATCTCATTTTCTTCTCACTTTATTTCTATTTGTGAGAGTCATCTTGGGTCAGAAGAAGCATCTATTGTATATATAATATAGGTGAGATGCAGGGCTGGAGGTTTTTACATTTGCCTGCTCATTTAATCTTCTCGACAACTTTGTGAAGTTGTTACTTTAATAGACCCATTTTCCACACATCGTGCTTACTCAGTCCAGGGTGGCCACAGGGCACATAAGGATAGGGGGACATTATCCATTTGTCACCCTCAGGTGAACACATATATGCATAGTCATTCATTCTCATTCTTTCTGTTGCTCCCCTCCCGCCCTCCCCCCAGCCCCCGGCCTTGGCTTCCCACTAAACTTATCTCCTCCTGAAGGAACAGAGAAGGGCTGGAAGAGAGGTGGGTGGTGAGGTTGGTAGGATCCTGTTTGTGTAAGTAGAGCTCTGGTTTCCAACTGCAAGTGGTCACAACAGCACACAGCAGGAATTGGATGGGACTCTTCTGGACTCCAGGAGGATGCTCTAACACTTGGCCTGCAGAAGGCAGATCCCATCTCTTAGCAACTCAGAGGCAGTATAGCCACGGGGAGGGCGAATAGGCAGCCAGAACCATGAAGTGCAGCAGGGGCAACATGTTCTCTTTCACTCTGTTTCCCTTGATACGACCTAGCCCTTCAGGGCAGCCACATCATTAACATCCATAGCTGTGGTTCAGATACAACCCTCAGTGCTGTTCCCCAAGCTTGGTCAAGCAGTGTAGTACCTATCCCATTTCTGTTAAGTTGGTCATTTGTACCCACACATAAGACTTCCTTCTTGAGCCCAATTTGATCTTTCTGAGGACTTTTTGAATTCCAGTTCTCCCATTTAGTACAGTTGCTTTTACAACTTTATATCCACACCAGTTGATAACTGTGCATCCGTGTCTTCATTTAATCACAATTGACATCAAAAAGGACAGAGTTGAAGTCTACATGTTACAACATACCACTTGAGAAACCTCACTCAGGGATGCAATCTAGCCATTCATCCAAAGTCGCTGAGTTTAGTCATGTTACCAGTTCATTAATCCAGTTAACCACAATGTGGGCAAGCCTCCCTCCCCTTTATTTCCTCCAAAGTTCAGCTGTCCAAGAAGACATCAGACTACTACCTTTGTTCCTCACTCTGGACCTGATTTCTCCATAAAATGCCGACACCACCCCCCTCTAAGGGATGTTCTGGGCAGGTGCAAGAAGACATGAAACAGCACAGGAAAGCTCGATTTCAAACCTAAACCCTGGGTTCCACATCCAGTTCTTTCTCCTCTCTGTCATGCCTTCCAGACATAGGCCGGGCTGTCCAGGAGGTAGACATTCCTGCTCCATGGCTGACTGCTGGGCAGGGAGGCTGCCTGGGGATCTTTTCCAACTCCCAGCATTCTGTGATTTTATTGATCTTAGGAAATTTGATTTAGGTTTGCTCAGAATTGTTTAGTTAACATACCTTTTTTTTTTTTAAGATTTTATTTATTTGACAGAGAGACAGATAGCTAGAGAGAGCAGTAGTGGGGAGGAGAGGGAGAAGCAGACTTCCCGCTGAGCAGAGAGCCTGACACAGGGCTTGATCCCAGGTCACTGAGGCAAAAGCAGACGCTTCACTGACTGAGCCACCCAGGCATCCCTAACATACCATTTTTGTTTCAGCCTTTCAATATTATCAACACCTTTTCATACTGATTTGAGAAATATCATAGAATATCTCAAAAGTTTAATTAGCTTTTGAATTTTTTAAAACTTAAAATATGATCAAAACTTTATAACAATTCTTGAGCAATCTAGGTTAGCACTACTCACATAGTGAGCATTTCCTTTGCGGAATTCTCAATAGTAAAGTTTAATCCCTAAAAGAACCTGGCTAACTACCCCACCTTGCTTTACTGCTGAACATGTCTTTCCAGTCCCTACTGGGTGCCTAGGGACATGTCCACCCATGCATTCTTTCTGTTTCTTGTTCAACATGTGTGTGTGCTGTCAGCTCACATCTTTCTTTTTAGTGGTAAACATCAAAGGAACGCTTCCATCCTCCTCTCTGAGTTCCTGCTTTGTATCTACCCTCAGTTTGGAAAAAGGACTGGAGACAGTTATATTATCAGTCAAAGATTTAAGCAATGTAGTAGTCACCAAGAAATTATAAGCAGAATTTTCTATAACCAATTTACCTTCTTTTAACAATGATAAGAATGCCTATGTAATGCATACTTATTTTCATCTAAAAGTTAAAATAATGATTCTTAGACTAATTATAGAAATATTTGTAAACATTTTGAGAATTTTTAGTAAACATAATCCAGTTTACACATGAAGCATACAGACTAATTAGAGCAGGACAAATCTTAATATAATTTCATATGGCTATTTAAGTATCAAAATTATGTACTTTTAAGTATCAACATTAGAGAGAAACTATAATGGATCTCTTACTGAATAGCAAAATGCTCCTTGTATACAGTTGACATGTGGATCACATGCCACATTTTAATGAAGTCTTACTACTTTTCACAGCAGCCTATATAAAATATACAGGAAGCTTACAAACAGAAGAATATTATCACTTTTATGTTTTAGGGGTGGCAAAGGAATATAACATCACTATTCTATCAGGGTATTCCCACAGTTTGGAAAGATTTATTTCATCATGTACATATTCTTATATTGCCTGGACAATGTCATGCCTATGATCTTTATAGAGAGAAAATAAGTATTCATTAATATAATTTTTGCATCAATACAAAATAACTATTGGCAGAACATAATGAGTAGTAGATTGGTTCTAAAAGTATTGAGCATGGGGCAAATTAACAGTACTGAGAATATTTTAAACTAAAAATAATATTAAAAACTAAAAATAATTTTGCAGTTTTTTCAGTTCTTTTGATAATTATATGGACAGAAGTGAATTTTGCTTCCTTTCAGATACATGTCCTTAAACGAAGCCCTTTTTCTGTGGCCTTATAAACAAATTATTACCTTTAATTTGTTTTTAGCAAAAAATTTGAAAATACCCAGCACAGTCTTATTTCTTGCCTGATTCTGAGCTTTGTGATATGCATTCTGTACTAGTTCTTGATAATTTGTTAACAAGGCGTTTTTAACACTTTGGACAGATGCACATACTGTTTTCAATCTTCACGGTTAATTATTCGATTTTGTATTTGATGCCAGAACACCCTGACTCCTAATCACTGCTCATTGTTGCAAGTCCATTATATTCTAACTGTTTGAGTGCTCCCATTGACCTTGAACTGACATTATAAGCTGTGTCTAATCTTTTCAGTCTATATTTCTAATGCTTCTTTTCTTTTTTCCTTTTTTTCTGATCCCTGTTTAGCATCACAATGGGGCTGCCTCTTAGCCCTGCAGCTGACTCCGCCCGCTCGGCAAGGCATGCCCTCTCACTCATTGCCACCGCCAGACCACCCGCCTTCATCACAACTATAGCCAAAGAGGTGAGCAGAACCTCTCTGTGTGCTCCATTTTCTCATTTAGAGGAATTATTAGATATTGTGAGCTGAGGGTCCATATCCACAAATAGTCCTTCCAGTTTGCTCTAGAACAATGCAAGTTAATAATTTAGTGCTGAAATGAATACATATGTACCTGTGTGCATGTACCCTGAATTCCACAGCAATGCATTCATGACTTATGCTTTTGTATTCATTTCTGTTCTCAAAGTTAACTCACTTGCAAATATTTGAAATTAATTTTCCAATCTGAAATATAGTAGGCTTACTCAAATTAAAATATACTAAAGATACTCACATTTTATAAATGTGAATATCTGCCTGTAATCAACACTGAACTTATTTAACACTGGCTCTTCAACTGTAAACAAAAATGTAAGTCATAAACTTGCTAATTGTTTTTCCTATTGCATGTCACAGATAAAGACTTGAATGCCAATTGATTCCCACGTTCTTAGTGTTCTAACTAATTGCCCACATCTAACTGAAAAACTAGTAAAGAACAATGAACCAATTATAGGATCTTTCCTGTAGGTCTTAGTAGTGGGAGAGAAAGGGAAGGATGATAAGCTCCTACATTTTTTTTTAAAGGTTTGTTCCGTTTCAGCATGAATAATGTGCAGACTTGGTGTCCGTGGGGTATGAGCTCTGTCTGAGTTGTTTTTCCTGTAGCTATGATGAATTTTTAAAATACTAAATAAATACCTCTGAGTCTGCCCTGATAACCTGAAACCTACTGGGCCCATGTCTGCCCCAGAGCCATCCTTAATAGGCATGCAGCAAATATTTGTGATGTGAAGGTAGTTAGAAGGGAGGAAGGAAGGTTTTAATAGCAGATTGTATGGGTTAATATGAGGTGGTGGGACTTTGAAATTCATACCTAAAATAAATCTGTAGAGTAAGGGGAAGTGTTTTTCTGATAGTGCATAGTGTTACAGTGAGGTTACAGTGTATTTAAAATACGTATATGTATGTTATATATCTATAATTTATAGATATTATATATTTATATGAAGAGTATATATATAAATGAACAGATTTATTATATAACAGAAATATATATATAAATGAACAGATTTATTAGCCATGGAATTTCTTATCAGTTGAATATGCATTGATAGTAATATTGAATATATTGAATAAACCTTACGTATACCTGACCACATATACAGGTCCTAGAAATGCCAGCCATAAAACTGCCTCTTTAAAGAGTAAGCAAGTATTTGTGTTAATTGTGTTTTTGAACTTAATTTTCGCCATTTACATATGAATATTTTTAAATGAACTGTTAGAATAGCCATGCTTTGGATTTATTCTACTCCAGCTTTAGGTTAGAAAGGTATTTTTTAAATATTTTAATGTTAATGTTTTACTAATTACCAGTTGATTCCTACATTGTTAGTGTTCTAATATTTCAGTGTAATAGTTCACATTTACTACCTTGTAAAAATAAGTTTCCCACTTCACTTAGAGTTTTAGAGTAAGATCCTGAAGTATTTCTCACTGTTATTACTGTCCCCTCCCCTGTCATGCCCACTCCTCCATGGCTGGCCCAGCTCCTATCAGTGTTGTTTCTCCTCTGAATGATTAAGACTTACAGTTTGTATGGGGAAGAAAAATCACAGTGAACTTATATTCTTTACAATGCATATTATTTTTGGAGACACGTTCATTCGCATGATACACCTTCATTATACAGCACCAAGAATGGTGCCTGGGACACAGGAAGTCTTCAATAAGCATCATTTACTATTACTACTTGAGAGCAAGTCTCATGGCTCTTACTTGCTTGGGTATCTCCTAACCGCTGTCCACTTCAGCACCAAATAGACCAAATTCACAAACCTTCATTCTGTCTTTTGAAAAATGTCACTGTAGTGTTAAAGTCTCATATAATACTCAGGAACTTACAGAATTTTATTAGAGAATACTTACTGAGTTTTTATTGTACTAAATGCTTTCTTTTGCAATCAAAAGACCTGACCCACCCCAGGAGATTTGTTTTATTGATTCTCATTTTTTCCCCTCTTGTGTTAACAAGTGAAAAATAAACCAGTGGCTAGAAATGCAAAACTGAATCGAGTGTCAGCCGTATCTACAGCATGGGAATGTCTTCACAGGTACACAGACATACAGCTCTTGCAGCAAATACCCAGTCCCAACAGAACATGCACACGACAACTCTTGCACGAGCTAAAGGGGAAATTCTGAGAGTCATTGAGATTCTTATTGAAAAAATGCCCACAGATGTTGTGGATCTTCTCGTGGAGGTAAGAATATCCTGCTATTAAATGTTACAGCAACAATCTAAATTAAATATGTCTGCGTAGTAATACGAATCAGCATTTTAATTTCCAAAGAAATAAAAGAAAAAGAATTAAAAGAATTATCTACAGGAAAGAGAGAGATAATTAAATGAATTAACTTTTGTACCATTTCTAGGGTCCTTATTTAAATTTCATTAAAGATCAAAATGATTGCTGTGTACACTTACCATTCATAGGGAAGTGGTCTGTACTGGAATAATTGTTAAAGGGTATGTTCTCTATAATGTTTTTCATTATAAGTAAAACAAAGGATGTAGGGTGCTTGAATAAAAGCTACCTATATTGTTCATAAATATGAACTGCTTTTGAAGTCAACAAGTCTCGTTTCTTTATTTTACTGCTCTTCTGTTTTTCACAGATAAGGAAGAGGATTAAAGTAACTATACTGTAGCTTTAGTAAATATACTATAGTTTTAAAGTAAATATTGCAGTCAAACTATCTAGAATTTTCATGCAGCTGAGGCCTAAGTTAATAATTTGAATTTTGGAAAGTTAAGTATTTGAAATTAATTTTGGATTTGCATCTTTTCTATAAAGGTTATGGACATCATTATGTACTGCCTTGAAGGATCTTTAGTTAAAAAGAAAGGTCTTCAAGAATGTTTCCCAGCCATCTGCAGGTAAAGAAGTCTTCCACAGCATGCAAAATAAATAATTTTTACTAACAAATAATTTTGAAAAATTTTTTAACAGGATGAGTTAGTAGTCTTGCCCAGTTAGAAAACCAGTTCTGAATTAATATCTGCTTACTTTCTGAAAACAATTTAGGCGGCTCATAGTCAAAAACACAGATATAATAGAACCATTTGAAATTAGGTCCTGATGAGATTTTCTCAAAACTTAAAACAATGAGTAAGAGATAACATCTGTTGAGTATGTGTGTGTTCTTACATTCATCACTCAAATTATCATTTACATTACAAAAGGAAGAGTTTAGGAAGCTTCTTTCTGACTTAGGAGAAAAGGTATATTTTTCAGCCAGGGGAAACTTTCTACCACATTTTCACTGATAAATTTTATTTTTACTATAAAGGTAACATTTTTCATGTTGTCCTACTAGTGTAGGTGTTTTCCCTATGAGAAAACTGGCCAAGAGCAGTTAGAACTGACATAAATAATATTGCATATGTTGAACATAACCAATAATTTTAGATGTATATAGCATTTCATTGTTAGGAAATGAAGGTTTTTTGAATGTAGTAGTGTTTATTTTCCCTTGAAAATAGTTTTTGGTTCTTAAAATGTTTATCGCTTGCGTACATTTTGTTAAAAAATTTTTTTACCTCCAAGTGGTCAGTAGAAATAGGACTTAAATCTGTTGAAAATCATTGTTTTTGTAGAAAACAGAACCAACAGTTAGTAATAGTTACTAACATTTTTCTTTTTAAGACACATTCAACGATCTCCTTCTGTTTGTTGAGTTCTGTGTGCATACAGTAGTGAAAAGCTTTATTTAAGACTGTAAGTTTCCTGAGAGAGGTGATGTTATATGACACATCATTACAACTTCTGTATCTCCTGGCATTTGAGCAAGTATTTGCTGAATTAATTGTACTCCATGAGTCTTCCAGTATCTTTTTTCATATTTATAATAGACTTTGTATCGTAACCTCTTCCTTTTGCTGTTGCTGAGTCATGCCACCCAGAAATTAAAACCAAAAGGAAAAGATTGTGCTGGAATATGCATGTGTACAGATGCGGATTTTCTTGGGGTACAGATGAGGTGTGTTACAATGCAGGCATTTTTAAACATCATGCCACATTAATTCTGGTTTGTGTTCTTTTTGTTAGAAGTTACATGTATAAAATCTTTTCATGCATTCATGCAGTTAACTGATGAGAGTACATCTAGCTGCTATAGTCCCAGCCAGTCGTTCTCTAAGGAAACGCCTATGCGAGAATGGACACTGGGACGTCTCTTTATAGCGGTGATGATCACTGTAGAGCTGAGTGTTAACAAGTGTTAGCAAAGGATTCCTTATAGCACCAGTCTTGGCAATATAAAATAAGCCTCCTGAAGTTAACGTGAGGAAATTATCCAGTTTTTCGAGGGCCTGTCTTTGCCCTTGCCGGAAGCCTGCCTCCCCTGCAAGCAGCACCCTCAGTTCCTTAGGTCACCCTAGTTTGCTGGTGTCCACTTTTGTTTGCTGGTGTTTCTTTGCCAGAGAGTAAGGATTCTGCTGGGATGCTAAGAGGCATGCTCAGTACCAGGTTATTCTGATTTGGCAGAAAGCAATCGTATTTTGTTTATTAATTTAATAACATCTATTGAACACCTACTGTGTGTCAAGTACTAGCTAGGCCCTGGGGATACAATGATGAATAACATGATATCCTCAGGGAGCACACAGGGTCTAGTAGGGTAGGTGATTATTAAGAAAGATAATTCCAGGGTACTGTGTTATGTGCCAGAGTAGAATTACATACCAGAGAAAAGATTGGGCAATAAATGGCAGTGCTTAACTCTAGGTAGAGGGGGCTTAGAAAGTTTCACAAAGGAGAAAGTAGAATAATAATAATAATAATAATAATAGAATCTTAGATAGTTTCACAAAAGAGAAGGCAGACAAATAATAATCTCCTTTTATTAAAGGAGAAACATGTTTTAATAAGAGTGACTGCCAAGTGGAGAGAAGGATCTGTCCCCCACGAGGGTTTGGGTTGGTGGTGGTAGGAGTGGTGGTGGGTTCTGGGAGAGCCTCACAGAAAAGTTAATGAAGCGAGCTTTGCAGAATGAACCAGTGTGTGCCATCTGGAATTGCAGAAAGAACCACATCAGTAAATGTCTAGAGACATAAAAGTGTATAGTGACTTTGGCGAATTCTCTGTGGTAGTGGCCAGAATGTAGGTTGAGGATAAAAGTCTTAATATGGTGTCAGAGAATGGGGCTTTGAATTCCATACAAGGGAATTTGGCCATTATTCTGTAAGCAATGGCGAATCAGCAGAGTTTAAGCAAAAGCATGTAATTCTTGCACCAGAACATAGTTGATAAGACCTAATCTTATGAAATTTCAGACTTATAACAAACAGTTGTTAACTATGAAATTAGGTTAGATATTATATAGCTGTGGGTATAGAAGCCACATAGGCCCGTTTATGGGAAAGTCAGCCCATAAACATCAAAAGGTGATTAGCAATATAAGGTTGTGGCGTTTGCTAAATATTAGTTGGAACAGGCAATAAGTTATGGAGGACTTCAGAGAACATTAAGCTTAAATGGGGCCTCAGAAGTTTTACTGGTCGATGCCACGCTACCTACTAGCTGAAATGCACAACAACAAAGATATCAACATAGCAACAGAAATTAAAATTCTTTTACTGAATCTCTGCTGTATCTGTGCCATTGTTCTGGGTGCCTTAAAGCACCTGTGAGCCCCCTACCCTATTTATAAATGCTTTTCACTAAATAATGAAACTCCAGTCAAAGTCAATGAAGTGAGTATCTGTGATCCAGTCATGTGGCATTTGTTTTTACAATCTTTATGTAATGTTGTAATCTTTTTTGTTAATTTTTCTTTTCTTTCCTTTACCCTATTTTATTATTTTATTAATTTTTTCCTTTACCCTATTTTAAAGATGCTATGGGTTTTAGCTTAGGCTAAGCTCTGTAATGTTGCTGTATACCAGTATCCAGTTGTTATGGTTGGTAGATCAGATCAGAAAAAGGTGTTAAAAAACTTCATTAAGTATTTTTTAAATGAAATATTCTTTTTAAATGAAGTATTCATTTAATGAAGTATTCATTTAAATGAAATATTAAATGAAGAATGCTCAGGATTTAGATATTCAGAGAACGTTAGTTTCCTGTGGGTCTCCCTATCTTAATAATAATGTGAAAAACCAAAATGTATATAAGAAATGACTTAATAAAGATTTTAAAGTATTTTATATGCATAGAGACTACAGAATGGCATTATTATTTTCATATATGTAAAAAAAATTGGTTTACTTCCCAAAATATTATATAATTTTTAGTCAATGTTATAAAGGTGGATATTCACATCTAAAGTTGTATTTAATTCAATTAGGAATTAATCTGGTATCCCAAAGTCATCGAATATTTAAAAGTCAAAAGTACTCTGACTTGGGTTATACATAAAATTCAGTTTTCTGTGAGTACCAAGACGAAGTAGCATCATTGAATACTGAATAATCCTGAGGTTGAGTCACTTTGTTTTTTGTTTTGTTTAGTTTTTTAACCTTGACCAGTGGGCTTATGATTCTGATATGCATCTATGTTTTGAATGTTCAGTTCAGGATTTTAAAACTTTAATAAACATTAACATTTTAACATTAAATTGGTAGTTTGTCTAAGCTTTTCTTTATTGTTGGAAATTTGACAGCTATTTCTCAGATTGCATGTTACAGTAAAATTTCCATTTTACTATTGTTACGAAAGTCTTGGGTTTTGACTTAGGCTGATTTCTGTGTGTTGTTATATACCAAGAGTCAATTTTATTCAGGTTTTATTATTTATTCTTTTATCTATTCAGGTTTATTTCACGATTATATGACTCCATATGTAATTTAACGAGTGGTGAATTCATCTACTCAATTATACTGTTAACTGAATTTGTCCTCTGACATCTTTTTTTATTTTTAAAGATTTTATTTATTTGACAGAGAGAGAGACAGCGAGAGAGGGAACACAAGCAGGGGGAGTGGGAGAGGGAGAAGCAAATTTCCCGCTGAGCAGGAGGCCCGATGTGGGGCTCGATCCCAGGACCCTGGATTCATGACCTGAGCCGAAAGCAGAAGCTTAATGACTGAGCCACCCAGGCACCCCTGTCCTCTGACATCTTTATTCAAAACATATTTAAAGTTTAAGCTACAAATTGTAAATTCATTGAAAGAAAGAAGGAGTAATACAAAAGTTTGATTTATCTAATTTGGTTTATATAATAGCTTTTCTATCAATTTTTAAAACTTCTTTTAATATCTTCTGCTTGAAAGTAGAAATGCATTAGGACACATGCCAGTAAAATTTGGTAGACATTCTTACTTATCACTGACCAAAGCTCACTTGCTGATATTAAAACCTGAGGTTACAGCAATGCATAAATGCATAATTTGCTGGGGTAAGCTGTAAGTTTGGGTCTAAACTTAGCAGCTAGCATGCAAAGAGGCACAGACCATCAATACCTAAGTCACAGTGTTCATATGGTAGAACAGTTCAAAACAAATATTCCTGTTTATAAGCCTGAGATCAACATGCAGTTGAGAGTCCTCATATAAAAGACATAAAATATGTATGTAGTTTACAGACCTTGTAGTTTTAAGAGGTTTTGTGACTCTCAAGAACGTATTAGAAGGATGCTCACACAACTAAATATTTAACAAAGTACAGCCAGCACTTATTAGTTGAGAGAACTAAGGACACAGATGAGAAGGTGAAGTTTAAAAACTGGTATTGAGGGCTCACTCCCAGTTAGGCCCTGTGGGGAATAATGATCTCCAGGTGCAGTTCCTAGACCATCTTCAAGAGAATTACCTGATTTCTAGGCTCCACCAGAGAGACACTACCTCAGACTATTATGAAGCCTGGAAAGCTGCATTTAGCAGCCTCCCCTGATGATTCTTAAGTACACTAAAGTTTGAAAATGAGTACTCTAATAATC